GCTCTGTTTCTACCTAAAAGAACTGACTCAGCGTGCAGACTTAGCTATTAAGTAGGTACAAAAATTATTAGATGTTGCACACAGGGGCGTATTAGCCGTGAGGCAAACAAGGCATTTGCCTTGGGCGGCATTTTTCAGGGGGCGGCAAAAAAAGCCGCCCCCCAAATGCCCAGGGCAAATGCCTAGTTAGGCTAACTGACCTGCTGGGTGGTCGGGGGGCGCTGGCTGGCGGGCGGCTGGCGAGGGAGCTCTTCCCCTGAGCGGTCTGCTCAGCTCCCTCGCGTGCCGCAGAGTGAGGCTGGGAGCCGGAATCTGACGTCATCAACCCAACTCCCAGCCTCACTCTGCGGCGCACGAGGGAGCTGAGCAGACCGCTCAGAGGAAGAGCTCCCTCGCCAGCCCCCTGCCCAGCAGCCATCACCGCCCAGCCCGACCGGCAGCCAGTCAGTGTGTGTGTGTGACTGTTACTGTGTGTGTCTGTTAGTGTGTGTGTGTATGTTAGTGTGTATGTGTGTGTGTCTGTTAGTGTGTGTGTGTGACTGTTACTGTGTGTGTCTGTTAGTGTGTGTATGTTAGTGTGTATGTGTGTGTGTCTGTTAGTGTGTGTGTCTGTCAGTGTGTATCTATCAGTGTGTGTCTGTTAGTGTGTGTCTGTTAGTGTGTGTGTGTGTCTGTTACTGTGTGTGTGTGTGTGTGTGTCTGTTGGTGTGTGTGTGTGTGTCTGTTACTGTGTGTGTCTGTTACTGTGTGTGTGTCTGTTAGTGTGTGTGTCTGTTAGTGTGTGTGTGTGTCTGTTGGTGTGTGTGTGTCTGTTACTGTGTGTGTCTGTTAGTGTGTGTGTGTGTCTGTTAGTGTGTGTGTCTGTTAGTGAGTGAGTCTGTTAGTGAGTGAGTGTTTCTGTTAGCTAGTGTATGCGTATCTGTCAGTGAATGTGTGTGTGTATTTAGAAGGCGGGGTGGGGGGAAGGGTTGGGTGGGGGTGGCATGGGGGGAGGAGGTGCCTGAGTTTTGTCCTGCCTAGGGCAGCACAAAACCAGGATACACCACTGGTTGCACTAACTAGGTAATGTGCACATTAACGGATTTCTCACTTTAACGGTAACATATACATTACATGTTAATATATCATTTTCTAATTTCCACTTTTTAATATATTACTTATCTTCTAAATGTAAACTTTACCAATCCTATCCAACATGTCATCACATAACAAAACATACATTACAACACAAACCCCTAACCTCATCTTCCTGCTATAGGTACCAAAAATAGACAGGACTTCTTGTGCCATGTTAAAGTTGTACACTTGTACCTATAGACCTTACTCAGTGCTATGCATTATATATCAATGTAAGTAGGGTCACTTAACTTTTCTCTCCTTTTTTTCTCTTCTTAATAAAAAAAAAGGAAGAGAAAAAGAGGGAAGAGGAATGTCATGAAATGTATATTTTACACCTGTTGCACCTTGCACAGCCAATCTTTCAACATTGTCCTTTGTTTAGATATTATACCCATTTACATCTTTAGCTGATATACCAGTTGTTCTTTAACTAAATCCCAGCATGGCACTTTAATAGATTTCCAATTTCTTCCCACCAATATCTTTGCTGCCATTAAAATATGTATAATTAGTATAGAAAATTGCCCATAATTTTGGTGTATATTCAAATGCAACAAAAAGATGCCAGGAGTTGGGGCTATCGTAATATTAGTCAGCGCCTTTATCTTACAAGCAACCATGCTCCAAAAGCGAAAAATTGGCCCACATTCCCACCAGATGTGCAACATCCCACCCCTACGCGCATCACATCTCCAACATCTATCCGAAGTATTTGAATAAATGTTTGCTAACCCACTTGGGGTTAAATACCATCTATTCGTTATCTTATACTGAACTTCAACTAAATTGAGGCAGTGTATATTATTTGAAACAATAGCTATTGATCTTTTCCACTCTTCATAACTTATGTTAGTGTGTGTAACGGATCACCTGGCACCCCGACTGGGTACCTCCGTTGAAGGATGCTCCTAGCGCTTCTTGAGGACCCCAAGCACTCAAGCCGACACCACAACCACCGCAGGCCGAAGCTCTCTTCCTTGAAAGCGAAGCAGGAACAAGCTCTTACAAGAATTTAGGAATGATTAAAGCAATGGAATATGCAGAGCATAGCAATCCCTTGTAGCAGATTCCCCCAATAAGAGACAGGACTTGAGGGTGAAGTAGAACTGTCTAAACCTTTATTTCCCTTGGGACCAGCCCATAGGGTCACCACAATAACATTGTTGTGAAACCTCAATAAAATCAAAAACAGTCAAACCATAGCAGGCAACACACAGTGACTTATCACAACACAATGGCACATTTTTAAAGGGGTGGGGGAGACAATATTTAACAGTAAATATCTCACCTGCCTGCAGAATTAGCAATATGCAAATCTACCCAAATATGCAAATGAACCAGTCTTGCAATTCAGGTAGTGCATATTGCTGTTGCTACCAACAGAGGGCACTAGACAAGCTCCATAGCCAAACCCACCTAGTTGGTAGCAAACCTCAGCAGTACAGGAGAGCAGGCAATACATTTCACAGTACACACACACACACTATAAACAATTACATTACACACACCCTGCACCTATAATGGGTACAGGGTGACTAAAACATAAGATAAATAAAGCAGCCTACATAAATAGTCTGTCTGAAGGTAGACTAGGGGCTTTAAAGCCAAATACATGAAAGAGTCATAGTCACAGGGGAGGAGGCTGGCAAGCAGGCCTCTCCAGGACCAAGTGGCGAAGGGCACTTCGTCACAGTGTGTATATCCTCTTTCCATTTATTTATTATAGAACAGATAATATTTTCAGATTCTCTTTCATATAGATCAAGGCATCTTGATACCATTTAAAAAAAAATATTTGTATTTTTTACTATTTCTTCAAGTTGTATTTCTTTATTAGAGTTATCTTTGAGTAAGTGGTCATTAAGGTAACCCTTTACTCTTATATATGTAAAGATCTCTTTGCTCTCAATGTTATATTCCGCACTATTAAAATCCTTAATTTTTCCATTCTCTACTATGTTATCAATTTCCTTTATCCCAAGATTAAGCCATTTATGTATACTTAAATCCATCATATTGCTATTTAGTTGTCTTAAGTGAAGACTAGTAATAATTTTATCTTGTACCTCCTTTCTAAGCTTGTTCCACCTGGGTATTACATTATCCAAAATTAGACTGTTCGACTCGAGCGTGTGCTTATATTTGTATTTGCTATTCGTTTTCCAAAATAAGGTGCTCAGCTCATCCTCTCTTTTTCCGTCATTGTATAAACTTTGCTCAATTTTATACCATATTTGATTCTTTGCAGTATCCGATTGAGTTATAATTGACTGTGCAATGTTACATGCTTTCCATTTTTGTTGTAACTGTGGAATTCCCAAACCCTCTAGTTTGATCTTTAACGCCAATCGGTCTGAACTTATCCGTGGGCGTTTCCCTGCCCAAATAAAAGATTTAAAAAATCAATTGTACCAATGTCAGCCAACTTTCTGGGCAGTGTAGAGGCACCATGCTGAAGAGATAAACCCACTTTGGGTATATATATATATATATATATATATATATATATTACTTTATCATATTAATACTCCCCCACCATGACGTCTCCACTCCCTTCCATTTTTTTTTATGGTTTTACTCGAGTGCATTCTAGTTTTAATGCACTGTGTGACATCCCCCACAGTGTAATCAAAGATTTTAAAATGTGACTTGCAATTTAAAAAGAGCAGATTATCAGATAATAAGCAAGTCCAATACTCAGGTGTTCTACCACCTGCAGAAATTTCTATTTAATTTTGGCTGAAATAACAATGACCTGTCATATAAGTCAATGTTATACGTGAGATAACTCTAAGAAGGAGGACGAAATGCTCCAAAGGTTCCATGGTTTCATTAAGAACAAAAGGGACCCAGTCTTTATACCTGACACATTCATTTAGAGATATAGTAGAGTCATCATGATAACCTTTAGACTTTAATTGGATTTTGCTGGTACATGCTTATTTGATCAATACATTGTGGAGACCTAGCTTGTTTTATAGTAAATATGGTAAACACTTTCTTCAAAATGACAATTTTGATCAGATGAGATAGTATTGAACTGTCATTAGTAGGCATTAGCAAAGAAGAAGACAGTCCTATATCAATTTTGTGCACAGCAATCTCTGAATAGTTTGTGTTTTTGGTGCACATATTCCATTAACTCCGCAAAATTGCGGCATGGTGATAGTTAAAGTGTTGTGTATATTTTATTATATTTGTCGTAGGTTTGTTTTGTTTTTTAATTGGACGAATCTTACATTTAAATGAATCTTCTTAGCTTAAAAATTCCAATTTCTGTATTTATGCATGCGTAATGAGTAGATTGTGTATGTGAATGAATATGTGTGAGCGTGTGAATGCATAAATATTTTATCTAATGTATAAATAATTTATATGCAAATGTGCACGCTGTGGGAGGTACTTAGCAAGATGAAGAATGAGTCATTGATGGGATGTAGTCCATGGTAGGATTATGGTAATCGGAACACACATGTATTTATTCACGTATGCATGCATATTCGCTGATAAATTGTTTGTTTCATGCCTAGTGTCAGTTTTATATTACCCTGTGCTCACAAGAATTAAGATTGTATTATATCACTGCACCCTCTTTCTCTAACTGACCAATATTAATTACAAAAGGGAAGTTAATGAAGTCCTGTTGAAATATTATATGTTAAAAATAAAACATGTAAGCTATATGCGGCTGAATAGGCTGCTTGGGATGAATTTCCGGCGCCATAGACTACATCCAGACAATGCCCTATGAATTATCATGAAGCATTCCCACCAGAGTCAGGTCATGCAAATATTTATTGCGAGCATTAAATAATAAATGGATCAGCCTGCACATTAGTAAATCTGTCATGTTACGTTTCAGCTGGGAGATTTGATGCTTGAGGTTGTAGTTCATTTTTCTCTGTTTGCCCTCCAAAGAGGAAAAGGCAAACTGATGAACGCACGTTGAAAGTCAGCTGGGATAATTAGACACCTCGAATTATCCCTGGAAAGGCTACTGTCTTTTATGTCTGTGTTACATTTACAGCCGAAAAGGTGCGACCCGTTAGCAGAATCAGCCAGTAACAAGTGTTTAAATAAAATAACATTAATTTAGTGGAAAACGTACATATTTCCGACATATTGCGCAGTTCCATTAATTTTCCACTGCAGTATTATTCAATGTGTACAGAATTCCTTGGTAATGATTGAAGCTATGAGAATAGAGTGGTCACTCCAGTCCATTGCATTATCTTTAGAATGGGGGAAGAATAAAGCCATTTGTTTCAGAGCTGTCCTGGTTTACATCAATGTATTACTTTATTTTTTTAACGTTTGCCTGTTTCAAACTACTGCAATATGAGGATTTAATGGCTTTTGTTAACAGCATTCTAAAATATATATATATTTTTTTTTAAATGCAGGATTTTATTTAATTTTAATATAAATAGATAAACAAGCAGCAAATATTGTGGAAATATGGAATTCTCATAAAAGGACTCTCTCAGCACAAATCACTTTGTTTATACAGTCATAGCCACTCCTCTCCTGACCATGACTCAAACACCCTACCTGCACACTTCCTAAAAATACATTTCAATTTTTGTTTCCTCATTGCTCCCTGTGTTTAATTTAAACTTTCCTGATCTCTCTGTTAATAGCCTGGTAGAGCCCTGTAACGGCACCCCAGGCATAAAAGGGTTTTAACCGCCGTTTATTAGATCTTCCCTTCCAGAGACACAGGCACAGCTACTGTAGACACCAATACACCGAACCGGAGAAGCATATGAATGCTCTCAAACATACGAATGCTGTAAACAGCCGAATAGGAAAAACCATCCGAATAGGTTTACACTCCTAGCAGTCGAACTGGAACAGCATACAATAAATCCCCCCCAAGAACGAGACAAGGCTCTGTTTTGAGGGTCAAGCAGGAACAGACAGAGCTGTTAGTTTATTGTTCTTGTATACACATTCTTACACATTAGAACCACCCACAGGGTTTTGGAAAACAACCAATAAACACGTACAAAACACTCAGACACTCCCACACAAAATCCTCCCCTCTGCCTGTGATACAATTACCTTACACAATGGGTAATGTAATTATCACAAATAGAGAAATACAGTTTTTCCACATTATTCATAACTTTAAAAGTATGCATCACATTCACATTTTCAAAATCAGCATACTCCAAATACAAACATACGTCAAAATCATACAAATTGGTTCAATGGTTCAAAAGATAGATCGTAGTCCTTTGTGACCAAAGGAAGCATGGCTTTTCTGCCCAAAACCAGTTCCACAGAGTCTTCTATCCTGGAGATAATTGGGAAGTGATCCAATTATCTCCAAGGACAGAGGTAAAACTCCATTTAGCACATGGCAGTAAAAAGACAGTAAAATACAATAAAATACACAAGGTTACATTTATGACATAAAATACAGACATGCAACATATGCCCAGATAGCTTAGGTCTGAGTGCACATTAATACTGAATGGCGCTCAGACCACACACACATACAGTTCAATTGCCATGGAGCCAAAGTCTTTTATTACACGAATAGGCTCCATGGCATTGCTATCTGGGTTATATGAGTTCATTCAGTAAATCCGAGAATCTACCAAACGCCAGGGCAGAAAACACGAATAGACCTTTCTGCATAGGAAAATAAAGTATTTAAATGCTCCTCCAATGCACAGTGGCGAGATTGGTCTCGTCACAAGCCCAAAAGTAGTCTCCTGTGTTCA